ATCAGATCCTAAGCTCGGATTTTAGGCCACCACCTAGTTTCCCTACCTTTCAAGGTCCCAGTGTGTCACCAGTTCTTCACTTTCTCATTCTAGCTAGTCCTTGGCTTGCAAGCTTCTCTGAAAATATTAGATAATGTTTAATCCTTTTGCTTGAAATCGTCCCGATAGCTTGCACCTGATATTGGACTCTCCGAGGTTTCTCCTAATAAATTAACAAGTTGATAAATAGATTTACCAACTGCAAAAATGCCCTAGTTATTAGCAACCTTCTTAAGACGTTTCCATGCATTCCACTTGAAGAGACCCGCTTCCAAACATTATAATGAGCTTGTCCACTCTCCAAATGATACACTGGAAGCTCATATCGATCCAGGGTGTTTTTCTGCATTTTGCTCTGGCCACAAACTACATACTATTATCATAGGCAAGACACACTCTATGTGTCCCGCCACCTCATGCCAATCCGTCAATACCAAATTGAAGGGCGTAGGTTCGGCGTGACTCCAGACTGAGTAAAATCAAATAATGTAGCCAAACTTTTTTTGCAATTTCACTCTCCAGAAATACTTTCCAGGCAGTCTCATTTTTGCTGCAACATAAACTCTTCGAGGTCATGTGGAATCTGAAACGTTGCTGCAAAGTTTCATCCACTAGTATCCAGTTCTTCAACAGTCATAGTGCTAACTTAGAAATTCTAATCGGAGTCTTCTGGTGCCATAAAGGTCTATAAACTGCTGGACTCTGTAAATTAATGCCAAAGAATGTGTATTCTTAACTTTTTTTATTTTGCTCTTTGTTAATTTGATGATAATATAATTTCCAATGACTAGAAAATCTCTTGAATATTGAACAAACTTTCATGAATTATCTAAATAGGTTCTATCAGACCTGAAGCAGTTATCTTTGGTTTCATTCTTTCTTGTGTTCTATGTTTACTAGGGATTAAACATGCCACTAGTACCTTTTGGAGCAGCACAATCAGAGACAACTGGACATGAAGCTCCAATCATGGCTATCCCTTTGTCCTGTATAACCGCAGAAGGTTTTAAAGTTGAAATAGCTAACAATCATGAGGTAAGATCTTAATTAAAATATTTTACAATTTTTCATATTTATAATTTTGTTAGAAAACATTTTCATATGGTTGTATTACACAATTTATGATCCCATACTTGCATTTCCACTGATGAATACTAATGAATAATTACTACTTATTTTCTATTCCTTTTATCTTCTTGTAGCTATGGAACCACACTTTATTGGTTGTGTTGTAGCTATTGCTCCTACTTTTATAATGTTGCGTTGTATGTTCTCACTTCGTTGTGGTTTGATTCATAAGAAAAGGCTATCCCATGGTCCTTTTCCTTGGGTAATACATTTTAAACATAGTAGTGAATTTCCTTTTTGTTAATATACTTGGGGTTGAGAATCTTGGCTTTCTTATTCGAGTTAACATCCTTCCCCATCTTTCCTTTGGAATCAACAATTATGTAGGCTTTTAGTTTATTATAAAAGATATGTATCCAAAGAATACTATCTATTGTCTCTATTATCTACCTTTCATGTTACATTGCATTTATTTGCTTTTTCTACTTGTAATATATAGTAATTTGGTTGCTGACAACCTTTTATTTCCTTTTGGTGAATCAGACTGGCATGCATGATGGTCAAAGAGGTTTGCATACCATAGGAATACATCAACTTTCCTATTCTGAGAGGAAAGCAAATTGGTACATCCGATCTCTACTGCTCAGCAATGGGAGTAAACATGATCCGGTAATTTTATTATAAATAAAACTATTCCTATAATCAGTTAGTATATTAATTCTCGAACTAAGCATAGTTAACATTTAAATTATTCAGTTTTGTTGTATGTTATTTAGCAACAGTTGCCCCAAAAAAATGAAATAGCTAGAAAAAGTTAAGGCAGAAGTTTTTTTTTGTTTTTTATGCAACACACAATAATGCTTAGGCGATGTTTTTGGTTAGATTGGCTAGTGATGGTGGGCATGGTGTCTTACATTGGGTGATAGACAGGTAAGATAATTTTTGTGCACATAGCAAGACACAACAGCGTAAAAATGCTACTTCCTCTGTCTCATTTATATAGGCCGCCTTTCCTTATTTTCTTATCCCGATTATATAGTCTTATTTCTTTATCGAGAATGTTTTATTTTACTTGTTTACTAATATACCCTGGTTATAACCAATTTACTACTAGTTGTTGATAATTAAATAAGGGTAAACTAAGAAATATTTTGGAACATTAAATAAGATTTCTTAATCCATGTGAAAAAACAAAATCAACCTATATAAATGGGACGGGGGGAGTTATAAACTATGAGCCTAGCTAAGGTCACCCTTAACAAGCAGCTAACATAAGAAAATTAAGAGTCAAGTGGGCTTTCCAAAACCACCATAATATCGTGAGGTGATGTACACAGTAGTTTCCGTGTCTTAATCTGTTCAATATCTCCATAATGAGCCTTGGAAACAAGAATTAGAGCTTTATTGGGATTCTATTAATTTCTACATTCTGTTTCGATTACAATTTACATTAGTCTTGGTTGAATCTGTTACAAGAAAATTACCTGTACAGCCTTTTTTCCCTAAAGGCAAGGGATGATTGTGTTTATAGACTAATTTCAATTCAGAGTCAATGAAATGCCGCAATTTCTCAATGAAGTAGGTTATAGCATCACGCAGATAGTGAATCAGTTTAAAATAAAACCTGCACTGCTATGTAATGGTTTATGGGTTGCTGGAAGTAGGCCTTAACGTACGTGAATAATGTTATGTTTTTGAAAAATTGATTATGTTTGTTATGTTTTTTGAATAATACTGAGATTATTGGATGGGTTGTGGCAATAAAGAGATCCTGCTATACAACTTAAAGGTTGATGACTAGCATACTAAAGAATTGAATAAAGATCCAATAGCACATTATAAATAGATTGAGGATTGAGGACGTTAATTGCCCAGGAAAAAAAATCTTATGATGTAGCATTATGCATGTGTGCTTTTGATGAACACCTTGTTTTGTTTTTTCTATTTATTTCTTAGTTGCGCTGATTCGCATCGATATAGTAATACACCATGTATAATTTCACATTTTCCAAAGACTTACCGGTCAAAACCAGTAGTTTATAATTGTGTTCATAATATATAGTCCCATTTAATCTGGTTAATGCTTTTTGAATAGTGGGTGCTGGCTGCTCTATAAAATTATGGCAGTGATGTTGCTTAATAATCTCTGGTTAAAATTCGTTTCTTACACAAACCCATATTAATACAAATATGGTTTGATTTCAGTATTATGTCCATGTGAGAACAAACAAGCAGCTTAGATCTCTTAAAGAAGTTTATGACTTCGTGATGCATGGAAAGCTTCCAATTCGGAATCCCAAAGGCAAAAACCAGCTATGGTATTCTGGAATTTGCTTTTCTAGTAAATAACTTGTTACTGCCAATTATGAATATATTCAGCTATCATTTTTCTTTTCTCCTTTCAGGGATCTGATCCCTCTCCTGGGATCCCTGGAGACAAACAAAAAAGGATCCGAGGAGACACATTGATTAACAAAGTTGGGGTTGGAATCTACAATTTGACGAAGGGAAAAATACTTCGAACTGAGACGCCACCAACAGCTAGCAGTTCTGAAGACTCAAACAGCAGTTTTCTTGGCACTGGTAATGATTTGAACTGAAAAACCATGTAATTAACTTCCAATTTTCTTCTTTAGATATTCTACGGTCACTCATACTTCTTGTTTATATTTGTTTATTGGTATTTAGAAAGCAAGAAAAGAAAGAGGATCCAAGAAACTTCGGTTCAACAAATTAGCAAAGAAAATTCTTCGGAAGTGAATCTCGGTGATGAAAAACCTGACATCTTGTACAATCTTTATGATATGGAGCCAAAACAAAAGAAATGGTGATCTGTCTCATTGTGTGTGGATGTTCTGATCTCTGTCTTTATCCTTTTGATGCATTTTAAGAAATATGATCAAGTCAAACAACTTCAAAGCTTGTTACTGGAGTTCCCCCTTAATTCTAGCTAGGTTTTTCTCAAATTGTATGGTGTCATATTTTTTTCTTTCATCTGACTTTTTATCCTACTCGGAATTGCCTCCCACCATTTGGTCATCCTTTGTTTGCTTAATTTTCCAGTGTTTTTGGCTGTGGCTTCCCTTTTGATTTTTAGTTTTTTACTTTTTTTCCTACTGGGACGAAGTAGTTCTTGCTTCAATCTAAATCTACAAAAAGGTTTTATGAAATAAAGAAGACCGTTGAGCGCCACATGGCTATACCATAATACATTTGAACACTTGCCCCGGATCTACTTCCAGATCTCAAATGAATAAATAAAGAAAATAGATAAATGAGAGATTGAAGAGAAACAAGCTAATTATAGAAATATCTCTAGAAGGTTTATTAATTATTGAACTGTTTGTGGGCTTCTTTGTATGCATGTGTTGTCCGGAAGGAAGAGGACTCAATGATAATTCATCGAAAGTGAGGATAAGCACGATTAATGATATTTGAAAAGAATGTATAAACAATTTAATTTTAAAATAAAAAGAAGTAAGTGGTAGATAAGTGCATATTTCATGTAGGTCTACAGAAATGTGCACTAGAAGGTTGACTAAGTATAAAATAATTTATGAGTCTTGCGAAACAGATAATTAATTGTCATTTACAATGTTCAATGCACATTAAATATTGAGTACATTAAAACGAATTAAATGCATGTGTGACTAAATTAAAATATTTAGGTGATTTTAATTGTAAGTCCTACAACATGCATGGATAATAAGTTGATAGTAATTATGGATCATACAAAACGTTTGAATAAAAAGTATATTAGACCCCAAGTGGTTAAATTATAGTCACTTCCCAAAATATATAGTAATTGTATTATTTTTCTCAAATTAACATGAAAAAAAATCCATTGAAGCAAATTAAACACAATCTTGACTGAATTAACCTGATTCCTCAACTCAATGGTTCTCACAACTCAGTTTGTTCACCTTCGCATCACCATTTGGTAACGTGCTTTCTGCTTGTGCAAACCGTTTTCTCTCAGCAAAAGCTGCATGTATCTCCGTATAAACTTCAACTTCATCGGGAAATGTCTGTTCCAGTTCCTCAAGCAGATGACTTCTCAAGCTCTTGAAGGTGTCTGTTTTGCCTTTAATAATCTGGTTTTTGGGAATACAACTATTCAACACATCCAAAGTAAATTCATCTGGATTCTTTCCATCATCTATCAAATTAATAACCTCCATAGGCACCTGAATATTACAGTTCTCCACGAATTTTGTCATACTATCCAGCTCCAACACTAAATTATTCATGGCCCGTAGAAGGCGTAATTGGGAGCCATGTTGTTCGAGGAGACAGTGAGGACGAGCTGGTTGGTGACTAGGGTGGTTGAGTTTAGCTTTGAATCTTCTGTAGGACTGGCAGCGGCCTGGATGAAGATTCAATGGGGGTATGTCATTACATTGTGGAACAGTTACGCCATTTCGCCGCCGATTTCGGCCACTGGATGTCTGGATTTATTTACCAAGCATCATCGCAGGTTGCTGAACAAAGCTGTAAAAAGGCACATCTTGTTTTAAAAGAAAAACATTAATTAGAGAAATATACCATATAAAACAATAACTCTTAAAAGGAAAGAAAACAGATGTGCAACCTCAACAATGTTTTCGAAAAGGTAAGCTGTTAGAAATAAGCGAGATATTTGGCACAATATGAAGTTGAAAAAGGAGGAGAACTCACTAATAAGGATAGAGAATACAATGAATATTGTGTTTACAATGTATTCTAATCCTTTTTCTAACTTGTTTATATCACAATGAAGAGTGCATATCAAATCCTAACAATAGTGTTATAGATGGAAATAATATCTCAAAACGCATAGAATAAAGAAACACGCTTGGGTGCCCAATCTCTATCCTAAAAGTACCAAATCCATATTTTGACTTCTTCAAAGCCTTCGTCAACCAAAACGCTAATTCTCAATGAAATTTGGGTCACAATTCGACATAAGTGTTAAGCAAATGCTTCATGTTCATGAAAAGTAAGACTTTCCCTAGCGTTTTTGTGGGGTTAATGAGTGCTTCATCTCAGATTCCTCATTTCTAATACCCATTTTAATAGAGGATCCTCATAGAGATAGATGTCTTAAAAGAGATTGAGAGACGTAGAGAGAGCGCGCTTGGGTAAGTGATATATATAGAGAAATGGGAGAGATTGACTCGAAAAAGGCTTAGACTATTGTCCAAATAAAAATTTTAAAAATCTAAAGTGGGCCACAAAAATTGGTAGCCAAGAATACGGCAAAAATTAAATTTAATTGCGGATAATTAAATTTTAAACGCGTAAGCAGGAATTGTTTATAAATTGCTTAAATTAAAATATATATTATGAGTTGTGGATCTCTTAAAATATGTGAACGAAAATGGTTTTAAGTGTTTTATAAAGTTTATATATTTTAAAAATAAAATACATGTTTTTTGAGAATGTCTCAATTTCTTTAAGTTGTGTTTTATTGTAAATTAATAGTGCATACACCTAAAATTTAAGTGAAAAATGGCAGCGCCATATCATACCTAGCTCAAATATATATTAGATTTGTAGTATTATGAGCTAAAGCAAAGCATAACATTTTCAAGTTGACAAGCAGTTAAATCAACAAAGCAGCTCAATAGACTATATATGTAGCGATGCAACTGAAGTTCAATTTCCATAGTCCTCATCAATTAATTTCTCAACAACAGCTAATACATATCCAATAAATTATTATCTTTCTACGCGTTTATAGCTGACACGACATGACCTAGTAATCAACTATCAATGTATGACACTTATCCTCGTGTTCTACCTCCTAAAAAAATCGATGATCATAAATAAATATTCTTTTTGCCTATAAATGTAACGGTCATTTTGCAAACAATAATCTTCAATACATGTTTGACAAAAAGATTCCAATCTAGTAGAACAAGTAAAATGACACTTTACATGATTCTTTACGTCGCTTCTTCTCAAAGCACACTCCTGACATGACTTTTACTCTAGAATCAACCGCCACCTACCTTTCAAGAGGCCATGAGTACTGATCAAAATTAGTTTTGCATACCCTTCTAATCGAAGAACACTAAATCCACTGCGCTGATCTAGTCTGACCACCAATGCTGACACGAAGTTGTCCACAATTTCTAACTGCAACAATTATTTTGTAGATTCAGTTGCTCCCCATTGTAGAGAAAATGAATACATTGGTGAATATGCTTTATATAATGAGACCTTACGATTATAAGGAACAACATTTTCTAGATTCAGTTGCTTCCCTCTTGATGAGGACTTTCATGGACATATTTTCTCCATGATTATTGCTCCTTGTGTCAACTTCGAAAAATCAATAAGGACCCTGGTGCCCACTCTCTTGCCCAATTTATCTGCAGTTACCTTTCGAAATTATAGAGGATACATCGAGAAGTTTTGCTGCAGTTAGAGGAAGAAGTACACGATGTCGGGAGTTAGTTTTTTGGTTCATTTTTATTGTTTTTCTTTTCAAACAACATTTACTTAATTTGACCGCCAATGTAAATTCTACAGATATTAAAATGATCTATTCACTAGTAAAGTTGCCTGAAATCTCAAATAGTCTAACAAACAAATTAACCTTCTTGATTTTTAGTTTTTTCAAAAAAAAAAAAAAAAGCTACTTATCTTTGGAATTCCGAGAGATTAGTGAATCTCAACGAAATCAATGTCACGTTGTAATAATTTCCTCATAAAACCAAAAAAAAATTTTGTCACAATAGTTGTATGAAAAAAAAAATCTATTCTTTTTAATTAGTAACACCATCAAAATCCAAGTGGGGTTTTTAGGCCTCCACCTTGATCATTTCTCCAACCTTGTCTTATAAATAATGCAGTCAAGTACAAATGGAAGTTGAGTGTCTATACCCTACCCTTAGTGTATACATGAAGGACTAAGAAAAGAGTATTATGAAGAGAGACAAGCCTAGAAGTACTATCTCCGAAGGAATTTCATATAGTTATAACAACTAATGTGAAACCTCTAACACATGGTAGATCGTGGGACTCCAATTTCAGCATACATGATAGGAATACAAAATGCATATTTTTCCTTCCTATTTTATGTGCTCATATGATTAATTAATACCAAAAATGTACTCATTACGTAATATTTTGATTTAGGTGGCAATTCAATGGAGATGACATAATTTGGAAGAAATAGATGAAAAATGACCAAAGTGAAAAAAATGAAAGTTTAAGGACTAACGTGAAAATACACAAAAGTTGTGTCAAACCAAATGATGAAGATTTGAGAGTGTTAGAAGTCAATTGAATGAAGAAAGAAGTCAAAAGGGTGAAATATCGTTAAAGTAGGATCACACATCAATTTTCATTCGAAAAGTTATACATCGGATTTTTAGTTTTAGTTTGAGACCCATTTTTGACATGACAAACAATCAAATTGGAAGATGTATATGAAGCAAAGTTGTAGCCCTTTGAGTTGGCTTTTAAACACATTTTAAATCAACTTAATCAGATATCGAGAGAGGAAGATATGACCAAACACTGAAAGCCGCTCAGTTACATTGGTCGGGGCTGCCGCCCAACCCTAAACTTCATTAACAGAAGCCAATATTTATGTCTGGACGACCGCCCCATTTTCGACTGGGCGCGGGCCCAAGCCAAATTGGGGAAAAATTTCTAGTTTTCTAATTTAAGTCAACCATATGTGGAAACAAATATAAATACATATTTTAAAACTCTAAAACGGAGAGAACGCCTCCAAACTCCATTCTTCTTTATTTCTCTTTTAGATTCATGAATTGTAAAAACTTTTACATTTGGTCAAAAGAAACTAAAGCCTCAGAATCACATATTATGAAATCTAAATAGTTTTTCTTATTGTTTAATTCTTATTTTGCGTATTGAATATTCTTCTGCACTTATTTTCATGATTGTTATGTTTAATTGCTAGGATGCCTACTAGTTAATTATTCGTTACAATCTACCGCTAAGTTAAATATCAAATCCGTAATTGTTTTATCCCTTTAACTTGTGAAGCACCAGGATTTGATGATTTTCTACGATAGATTTTATTGAATCTTAAAAAGAATGTTTAAATAGATTAAATGCAACCACGAGTGTGATGTTATCCAGTTTATCGATTTCTCTATTGTGTAAAATTGTTATTAAATTGAATCTTGAGCGCTGGTTTGCGGTTATTTAATAATAAGGGTTAATTAGAACGTTGATTTCTAACTAACTAAAATTATGGAGAAATAGGAATCAATTCCAACGATTAATATTCAAAATATGAATTGAATTATTATTACCTCTATGATCAATCGTGAATTTCCGACGATGGATGTGGACTTAAACTAAGGTTAGTCTTTTGATTGTTTCCGTTAATTTAATTTTTATTATTATTAATTACGTTATTTACAATTGTTTGTATACAAAAACCCCTCCAATCATTGTACGAAGCAAAAAATATTGAATTACACACTCTTCGTGAGATCGATCCTTACTTTCACTACTACATTAGCTTTAGATGTTAAGATATTACTTTTAGGTGCCTGAGACAGCACACACCAATTCCTTTTGTTGACATCCGACCTCCGAGATCGTTAACTACAGTTTGTTGTATACATTAAGCTCATGCTAATTTAAGCTTGGATATTTGATATCAGCTCGTATTAACCATTGCCGAGGTTTGAGGGGACATAATAATTGAAAATTCCTTGCATATTATACAAATAGTCAATCAACAAGTGACATTTGGAAGGTCTTACATTAGCGCCTTCCAATTCCACCAATCACATGCCTTAACTTCATTCCCTAATTAGTTCATGGATTGTTGGGGACCACATGTAAGGTTAACTTATCACCTCACAAAACCGATCTCACTAACCATTCCAAACATGCCAATGATGTACTTTCTCAGTTCGGTATCGTAACTCATAAAACAAGGAAATGAAGAATACATACTAACCTTCCCTATAAAAGGAAAGAGGAAGAGAAGAAAAGGGGAGAAGAAAAGAAAGCTCAAAATATTTCATATTTCAAATATCTCCTTGAGGAAGAAGAGCAAACACTTGTAGTTACAATTATAATTTGCAAGTCATTATCAATAAAACTCTTATTTATATTTTAAGTTGGCTTGAATCTTATTCATACAATTTTCAACATCAACACCTTTCAACTCCTTTGGAAAATCAGTTTAATCATATTCCTTATATGCCAAGATTTGGATACCTTCATTCGTAAGCCAATATGCTGGTTCATTACCTTCACTTAACATTGAATGTAATGAACGATTTTCTCATTAAATTGTAAATTTATCGAGAATATTAAATGTAACATACTTATGTTTACAACAAAACGACAAATAAATCTAAAACATTGACTTTAGTAAACGTTTTTAAAATTTAAATCTAAATCCAACGTAACAACAATTTTAAACATAAACTTATATTTATTTATTAAAATAAAATAACAACTGAATTAGACATCGAGTTGAGTAATGTGTTTAGATATAAATTCAACTTCTATTAAGCAATATTATTAAGTGCATCCTTTAATTTTCTATTGAAATAAAATGATAGATTAATATAAACATTAAGTTTTCTTCAGTTAAAATCTAAGTTCAACTTATCAACAATATTAAATGTAACATTTATTCATTTTTACCAAAACGAAAGCAACGTATCTTTGCAAATTGCCATTGTTTTTGTTTTAGTAAATGGTTGGTTCATTAGAAGAGATTTATTTATTTTTCTGAATAAGTGCAAGATCAATCATGGAAAGCTGAGTGGCACATCCAAGCTAGCACCTCCATATCCTTTATTAATGAAACCCTCACTTATGACGGAGGAAATTCGTGGTTACACTTACTTAGGAAACCTAAAAGAAGGATAACCACGATGGTCTAAATACATCGAGCCTAAGAATTTAAAAGGAAAATATGTTATAGAGTCTACAAAGGATATGCAAGCCAATAAATCCACCTTCGTTTTCATTTCTCTATAAACATGGCAAACCTTCACATCTATGTAATCTGCAAAGATCATAACTTCATACCAAATATTTCGAAAAATTCAAGGGGAAAGCCATTAGAATTAAACTAGTGTGTCACTACCAAAGAGTCCGTCTCAATAACTACTCGCTCTATATTTAAAAGATAACAATAATCAAGTCCCATTCTCAGTGCCATCATCTCAGCAAAAGTATTCGAGCCCACACCAAGATGATGATGAAAACAAAAAACAACCTATCCGTGATCATCACGAAGCATGCCACCACAGCATGTCCGCCCGGATTACTACTACAACAAATCAACTTATTTATAACTTGCAAAAAATGATATCTATCATGTTTTATAGCATTTTTCAGAATGCTATCATATGTGGTGCTATTAAAATTCCTACCTCTGTTATAATATTTTTTGAATGCTATTATAAAGTGCTATAAAAAACTTTTAAATATCATTATATTATCGTCATGGTTTTAATATTTATAGCAATCCTTTTAATTTGGCATTTGTTGAATATACTGTATAATTTTCAATAGCATATTTTGATTGTCAAGTATACATATTAAACAACATTTATAATTCATTAATGGTCAAATGTAATTATTCAATAGCATTATTTTTTGGACCAAAAATATAAACAACAATAACCATGCCAATAATAAATTTCAAAATATGCTCGATATTCTCCTGTGAAAATATACAAACGTAGTTGTTCAACGGGGAAATCTAATTATGTTCCATCTTCACATCAAATACTAATAACAATATATGTTTGAAAATGCAAGAAACAAAATTGAATTAGGTCCCAGGGGAATGTCATGAACCAATATATTTGGATCATTTGAAGATCGACATCCTTTTGTCACCTTTTCTCTCGTTCTAGTCCAATCTATATTCAACAGACTACCTGAATTGCATAGGTTTATCAGTAAGCTTCAGTAAACATAAATTGTTTATTTACTGATAAGGGCAAAATAAATGCTAACATAATGTTAGATTAATCTTGCACCTTCAAATTTTGATACTTTGAACTTGATCAACCTTACATCTTCGAATTTCGAGACAACTGCTAACACACCCGTACCAAGTCCCCCCAATGGACCCGACACGTGTCGTGCACCGATGATAAATGTCATCTTGGCATAGGACCATCACCAAGGCAACAAAAAAAAAAAAACTATACTTTGATTGTATGGCCTTCTTTGACAAAATAAATTTATTTTCTTTTTAAAAAAGTTTTGACAGAGTCTC